CTCAACCAACATTAACCCTAAATTCCTGAACAAGAACATAGACTTCATTCTCATAAACGTTGCTTGGGATGCAAATCTACAATCTACGGTGGTCTAAAAGTTTAAAGCCAATGTCAAATACAGCTTGTAGCAGATTGCTGTCGACAATTATCAATGCTATTGGTTTAGTTAAGGTAGGTATGGTATGTCATGTAGAGCCTAAGCACCTGCAGAGACGATATTCATACTTTTCAACGCTTGAATAGGGACAGCATAACTCTATCACATAAATATAAGATATAAAAATGAATATATTTCCCTTCCAAAGTTGCGTTATGCAATATCATATGGACCTATTCAAATTATTGGCAGTGTAATTAAATCTATGGATCAGAACGTCCTTCATATGCCGATTGTTAATAATAAAATAACATGCAGCCAGTGAATATTTTGGGCGCACCTGTATGTATGTCGATGCATTCAACAAGACTAGTAGACACTCTCACACACACACACATAGACGTACTTATGTATGGATCGAAACGTACTTAAACTGTAACTGAAACACTTGTCGAAGATACTCATCGAGCCAGCCACAAATAAGAGATGCCATGGCAAGCAAAATACCGACGAGGGGAAAGGCTATCTCGGAATACCAAATCACAACAACAGAAATGTGAAGCTCGGCAAGAGTGATCTCGCTGGATAGCTGACTGGCTGGCTGGCTGACATTCAAGTAAAACTTGATTTTGATTCCTGGTACGACTGCCACACACCGAGACTTGTCTGTTGAGCTGAATCTCCAGAACAGACATTCGTTCTAGTGGCACTCGAAGATCATCGTTTATTTATTGTTCGGGTTATTTGTTTCATGATCAAAGCCAAAAGATTATCCAATTGGCGCGAGGCCTTAAGTACGGTTGCAGTTGTCTTTAATCGGCCCAGCTTTAATACCAATATAAAGTAACAATTTAGAGTAGCCACAACCCAGCAAACCACATGATGGGCGGTTGATTTGTGTGCATAAAGCTTGCATTTTTCTTAGCTTCTCTGAAAAACTCTGGCATCATTTTTTACTTCTTCTCTCTTGGAAGTTACAATTTTGGATGTGTAATGACAATTTTATACGACATCACTTCAGTATTTCGACCAATCTATTGGTCTAATTGTTTTGTCTAATTTTTCGTCAAAATTTACGAAAAATTCGTTTCAGAAATCGGAAGAGACTTTCAACTTCTCCCCGAAATTTCGGTCCGAGAAATTGCTCTTTCTGACTTTTGTTACGAAGTTGGACCGAACGAATAATTATCGGACATTTCTGCAGATTTTCTCATAAAATTCTCTCCGAATTCCGACAGCTTGGTTTGCTGGGAAGAGCAATATTTGCGCATGTAATTGTGTGTTCGATGTTTTTATATGTCAGACATAAAAAATTAAATCAAAATATTTTACTTCTCTATCGGCTGCCTTAATGAGGTGGGTGTGAAGGTATGCTCACAAACTTTTTAACATACCCTGTTGGAATTTTGAGCCTCAGATATTTTTATTTTTTAAGAAATTTAAACATATGTACGGAGGTCTCAAAAATTATGTATTCTCGATCAATAGATTCCAAGAATCGCAAAGTTTTACCATTTGTGTAAGCTTAAGATTGTAGATCCCGTAAAAGTAATAAGAGCTGTAAGCTAATTTAAACAAATACTTGTGGTAAATGGATTAATAGAAAAAGCAGCATGATTGTCAGCTCTTGATTGGGTGAATTGTTGACTTTGAAGAATATCCGTCATCATAGTTTTTTCAAGTCTCCATACTTTCTAGACCAATTAGATCTCTAAGAACGAATCCAATATTACTCTCTCTTTCCCTCTTACTCTTAAAAGTACTTAAGTGCTTACTTCCCAACGACCCCACATTCCTGCAGGGTCGTCTTCTTCTACCTCTGAAAATCACATTGTACCTTTACCTACCTGCTGTTGCTCTGTAAAGATATTCCGATATCACTTTTGAGTGCAATTAGTCGTTTAGGATGCTTCAATATCGGGTCTTGTTTGAATGCCAAGTTCTGTACTTTTTTTCATATCTTTTACTTCACATCCATGTGTTTGACGTTTTGTTTTAGACATTTTTCACCCACCTACAACCAGTCAAGGTGGCGGGGATGGCTGCCAAGTAGAGTTCAAGAATCAAGTATGAATGGCATTCTAGCTTCGGGCGCACAAAATGTGAATAGTTTGCAAAGATTATCGAAAAGAAGACGAAGCAGAAGCTTCTGCCGGTGTGTACTTCTGAGTTCACCATAATTTTGTCGGTTTATTTTGCACTTGTTGGCTTAAATAAACTGAAAAATAGAGGCTAAATTGCGAACATTATAGTTATCGAATTCGAGTGGAGTTAATATGGGAAATACATACAAACACACACACAAATACAAAGGCATTTGTTTTTATGTTTTGTGTTTTTTGGCCAACGAAGAATGTAAACACATGACGTTGGCTTTAAGAGCCTTCTTGGGAAGCAGGGCTTTGAGCAAGTCATGCTCTTCGAAATGATAATGAAAAGTCAAAGCGAAAATAATTATGCTGTCGTTAATAAAATTTGATATTTTACCGCTTCTTCTTCTCCTTGTTTTGTTTCTTAAGCGCATCTAAGCTACCTATTCGGTAGATCTTTTTGAAGTGTGCAATTAATTTAAAGCATCTCAACTGGACATTATTTGGCAGGCGGATTTGAGTTTTCCGCATTTGCTCACCTTCGTTGAAGAGGCTAGAGAAACCATTTTTATTTTATCCAACTTTGCATTTAGGCCAATATTTGATTTGCTAAAGCCTATTGCTGATCTGTTTGTTTAGTCGAAAAGAAGGCCAGCGTTTGCAATGATTTGGAATTTTAAAAAATAATTGAAAAAGGTATTATAGTTGGCAATGATATTATGTTGAATTGAAATAAATTAATATTCAAATTAATATTGTTTTTCTTTGGAGAAGAAGTTTGATTATTTTCAGATCAAGGCCGATGGTCGATGAAAACGTGAAACCTAAAAGTATGATTACACTGGGCGTCGATTTTTTTTAAATAATGGAAATAGCCGAAATGGTTATGAAAGTAGAGCTTAAAATATGGGACACGTGTTTCGGGGTTTTCCCATTTTTACCTTTTATATTAAGTTCGTCATTCTATTTGTATCTCATCGAAATAATAATTTTAGACCCAACAAAGTATGTATATTCTTGATCAGCGTAAAATTCTAAGACGATTTTGCCCTACCCGTCCGTCCGTCTGTTGTAACCACGCGATAAGATAGGAAGCTAAAAGTTTGCAAAAAATAGCTTTTGTCTGGGGTAGGTCAAGTTCAAAGATGGGCTATATCGGTCCACGATAGTCTCCATACAACGGTACCCCTGATATTCGGTATTTTAATGTTTTTAGCACATTTGTCCATGGAATTGTGGGAAATTCTACACAAGGAGTTCCTTCTGAGTACTTTACCCTTAAGAGTATTGTCTATGTAGGTCCACGATATCATATATTCCCCATATAACGGTATCTCCCTATATTCGGTATTTTGATGATTGTAGCCAAATTTTTCAATGGAATTGTGTGTAAAATCCACACAAGGTGTTCCATTTGAGAACTTTACACTCTGGAAGACAATTGTCTATATAGGTCCACAATATCGTATAGGCTCTAAACAACGAAAACCCCTGATATTCGGTATTTTCATGATTTTTGCGACATTATTCACCGAAATTGTTTCAAATTGTGTATTTAAAGATTGTAGTGGGTACTACAGCCTATTAAAAAATGGGTATGCAGGTCCACGTCTCTGTATAGTCCTCATTTAACGATACCGCCCGATATTCCGTATTTTGATGATTATAAGGACATTGTTCACCGGAATTGTTTCAAATTTCCTATTTTAAGCTCGTAATGGGTACTACAAGATAGGATGGAAAATTGCCTGTGCATGTCCACGTCTTCATTAAGCTCACATATAACGACACCTCCCTTTATTCGGTATTATGTTTTTATAGCCGAAATTAATTACCGGAATTGTTTGAAAAATCATATTAAAGTTCGTAATGGAAACTACAGCCTATGACAAAATTACTTATACAGGACCATGTCTTCGTAAAACCTCTATAAACGGTTTTTTGAGCGGTATTTTGACAGATTTTTTTAAAAGTTTTAAAGTTTCTTCAAAATGGAGGATGGTATTAAAAGTTCGGCTCGGCCGAGCTTAGCTGCTTTTTTACTTGTTGAAAATAAAAGTGCAACTATGCATCTGGATTCATACCTGGATCTTAGGGCCTTTTCCTGTTTATGATGATACGAAAATTAATACAAACAAAAAAAAAAAAAAAAACATGCAAAATTATTGATATTTTTTGTGTTAAATCAAAAATTTTAAAAACAATTTTAAAATAGTGTTTTTCGATTGCATTCACTACCCTATCGTCATATAAAAACGGATCTTTCATATTCACTGCTTAATATGAAATTCAGATACGATTTTCCCCCAAATTTTGATATTTTGTTAGAATGGCTTCAGAAGGGGTTGACCTGTAGTGTCTATCTTCGATCTCGAAATAAGTTTGACAGATACAATTCGTTCTGTAAAATTTGGATAGCATCCGATAATCCCATCCTGGAGTTTTCATGGCTATAATTACTCTAAAGTCTCTGACATAGATTTCGTCCAAACATAGGGTAAAATTCACCCTTTGGCCGAATAATGTGGTATATACCCTCCGTAGACAAAATGCTGAGCCTATGAGAAGTATAAATGCCAAGTCCTCCAAATATACATATATTTCATAAAAATTAAGTAGCCTCTTATGAGTACAAAAAACTAAAGAATACATTCATTAGAGATCTTGCTACTGACAGAAAGCACATTCCTCCAAATTCGTCTATTTAAATTGTAAACTGTTCATATTTTTTCAACAGCCAAGAAAAATTCGTTTCACAGCGCATCAGGCCATTCAACTCCTCGTCATTTGCAATGGAAAGAAAATGAAATGTCATTTTTATTCCCCAAAAGTATTTATTGGCATGCATAAAACGCATGTGTATACGCACACACACACACGTATGCAATTGGGTTAATACAAATACAAAAATGTGTAAACGGATATAGTTGAATATTACCACAGATCGTATCTCAATTCGCCTCAAACTGTTTCCGAATACAGTGGCAACCAAAAAAACAAAATAAGTAGAATAGTCAGTCACCTACTTGTGTCAGACTTCTTTCCGTTCCATGGCGAATCAATTGCATCTTGTTGGTGTTGTTGCTGTTGCCCTGGCTGTGGCAGCGGCCGCATTTACTTGTTGCTGAAACTCATCCAAGATACGACTCTGTGGTATATCGGTTTCCACACGGCTACCCAAAATATCGCTGGCGTTCACACACTGCTGTTCTGGATCAAAGAATATGTCGATGATGATGCGCACACCTAGCGCACGACGAAAAAAACGGATGCAAAATGAATTAAACGATGAACGGTAATCTGTGTGTGTGCGGTTGTTCTTACCTGTGGCTGTCTTGGCAATTGTGGTCTTACTTTGATAGGATGTTTCGATCGGATGACAAGTAACTTCCCCAATGTTATCGTTTGACGGCGACACTAAGCGATTCTTCATCGACATAACGGTACGCAAGGGATTTGGTGGTTGGGCGGATGCTGGTGGTATTGATGCAACGAACTCGGGTGTTTTCTTGTATTCTAGACTCTTCTGCATGTCAGTCTGGCTAGAATTCCCTGCAGCCGCAAGAGCATCATTGCTATGTGGGTCAGTGATGGTTTCAGAGCTACGAAACTTTTGGATGGCAGCAGAACTTTTAAGGTTTCGATTCTGACAGCACTGACAAGCTATACAATTCTTGCAGCATCTTCCATTGGTAATGAGGTTGGCACCGATGTTCTCATCGGCCACCGCCAACATATTGGGTTGAGATCGCGGTTTGGCAGGTGAAACTAGACCACCGAAAGATGGCCTGCGACTATGGAGCGTTGTGTGACTTTGTCTGCGGGACACATTGTTGTTGTTGTTGATGGCGTTTCTTGTATTACCATCGTAGTGTCGAATCATATCACGCACCGAAATCGAACCACTATGGTCCGAATCGGAATAGAAGGAGGTATTCCGCGGTACATAGGACCGGCCACTGCCGAATGCATCGTCATCGTCCACACTTTTGATCCTCAAACGTTGAAAGTCCATAAAAGTTTTGTGATGTTAAAAAAAAACTGAGAAATCGAAGAACAAAAATATATTTTTATGTTTGGGGAAGAAAAAATAATTGGAAAAATTCTCCGAGAAAATATAAATTATGAATATTGTCAATTATGACAAATGGGTACAGTGGACAAAAAAAAAAAAATAGATTAAAAAAAGTTAAAACGTATTAGTCGGATGTATACCCTCAGCCCATGTTCGATTATTTAAATATATTTTTACTTCTTTTATGATTATTCAAATTATTCACCCTCTATGGAGTTGGTTCCGAAAGAATGGGCCGATATTGCCCATTTCGTATCTGGTTGGGAGAAATATTTAGACATAGCAAAGTGTAAAGGATCGCTGTCTTGTTTCGCTAGTTATGACAGATAAAATTATTGAAAATTGTGACCATTTGTGGGTGAGGTACCAGAAGGGGTTCGCAGCTATAAATTATCATCTTCAAAAATGTCTGTATGCGCAAAATTTGAAGAGATTTGGATGGCTATTTTGCTTTCTTTGAGCGCTTTGTTTTTCCCCCAATGTGGGGGAGGTACCAGAAGAAATGCTCCAATCTTTGCCATCTTTACAACAAGTCTTGTGTTGATGGAAATATTGAGATGTACCAAGTCTGAATGGAATCGGATGTTATTTTCGCGTTTTATGAGCTTAATGGATACTCATAATTTTGATCCTTTGTGGGGAACGTACCAGAAGGTACCTCACACCAAATCTTGGGTTAATAGAAATATTGTGATGTGTGTAGTTTGAAGACAATCGAACTCTTTAATCACATTTTCTATGAGTTATAATTATTCAAAATTTTGACCCTTGAGTCATATTATATTGCCTCTACTGTAACTGACTCACTATTCCTTACTTACAAAACTTACTAGATATCTCTGATTTAATCCAACTTCTTTAATTCACAACTCTCTCCGAGAAATTTACTGTTATATTCCCGCTGTCTCTCACTCTCTCTCTCTCTCTCTCTCTCTTGCTCTTAAGCAGACAAGTTCTCCAACTCCACATTAACTCTCAAATTATTAAAAAAAACATATTTTCATGCACATCAATTTCAATTGTAGAATATTTACTTTTGTAATACAATGTAGTTTGTTTAAAGTTCAGTTCTTACGGAGATCTCAAATTGGAAATTTGTATAATTATTTATCGGTTAAATATCAAGTCTTTAGCCGAAATAATACATTTTTAATAAAATATTAAAATACAACTTAATATGTTTTATTACAAAATCATAAAACATAACTCTTGGTGGGGGAAGTACTTGATGCAGTAGACCGATATTGTCCATTTTCGCACCTAGCATTGATGCAAATATTAGGATTTGCAAAGTTGTAGCAAAATCGTATTATTCTTCCTCTTCTGTGCAGTAAATTAATTTCTTTGATTTGACATTTTGTGAGGGAGGTACTACATGGAGTATACCGATATTGCCTATGTCCGAACTCGATCTAAGTTTGATAATAATATTACGATGTACCAGTATTTTGGATAAAATCGGGTACTTCCTTTGAGAGTTATCGTGGCGGAGGGTATAAAAAGTTAAGGTGAGAATACATAGAAGACTTTTTGATTTACTAAAGTCAGCAAAGGGTGAACAAGTATGAAGGTGACAGTATATAAAAGGCTTTTTTAACTGGCTTCTTTGTAAAGGAACAAAGGAGTTTTAGGTTGACTTAGTTCGATTTTGGTCCTACGCTCCTTTGTTGTATTCTCACCTTTATTCTATGAGAGTTATTGTTTTTTAAAACTTTAACCTTTTGTGACTGACACTCTCGGTAGCCGCGGTATATATTTGAATTTTATGAGAGTTATGAACATTCATCCTTGTGGTGCAAGTACTAGAAGGTGTGGGGCGACATAGTCAATTGTCCCACCTGATCTAGGCCTATTTATATGTTTTTTTTTTTTTTTTTTTTGAAAATGTTGAACATTTATATTTTGGATTTGAGAAGAAATATTACAATGTAAAGAGGCTGCATTTTATTTAAAGTAATATTCCACCTATATGTTGGATATTTTCCGATCCAAGAGAGTCCATTACTGATTTTCCTTAAATCTGGGAGAATTACTAATGAGTATATCCCTGATATGTAATCTTCTTTTTTTTTAAATAAAAAACATCAGTTTATTCCAAATATACCCTTTTTAATATTTTATTAGTCCTTGAGATTTTTTTGTGCATATTTTTCATCCTAGCAACAATATCATTTTTGAATTCGTTTAATTTGCAGCATCCAATAAATTCATAATCATCTGATTGCAACATCAATGAATCGTTTAACCACCAAACAAAAAACTCTATTTAATATTAATTGTTGCAATTTGAATGGATATTTTTCATTTGAATCGAAGAAAACAAAAAAAAAAATTGGAAATCATTAATCAAATGAAAGCGGACAAAAAAATGTATTGTTGCAAGTCAATTATGATAGTGCAACCAACCGCTCAAATATGTCAGGAAAAAAGTGTGTTGTCATTCTACTTGGATCGTTGACGATTCTGTCATTGATATGCAGTTTGAGGCAAATATTTGCTCGGTACACACACACACACACACACCCATACACATGTGACATATTTATGCATTTACAGTCTGTTGCCAAAATTGACACGAGCAGGCCGAGTGACGTTTTCTCTTTTCTTTTGCGATTTGCGATGGGCAAAAACAAAAACGGAAAGTGAATTGAAAAGAAAAATCAAACAAAAATAAGTAATCCCGAAATGTAGACATTTATCATCATTTTGGCTTTGCGCCATTCAAATTTGTTGTCGTGATAGCCATTGTTTTTTTTGATTTGTGTGTCGATTTGCTAAATTCGTTCATAAAATCATCCCTCGGCCCCAGTCTGGGCAACAAATCTCCTTTCATTCAGTCCTCCATTCATTTATTTAACAATTGAACTTTCGTTTCGAAATTTAAGGATTTTTTGGTGGATATAGCCTCTCTCTGTTGTCTTGCATTGAGTCTTTTGTATTAACGGCCAATGGCTGCACTAGCCAAACGACTATTTTATGGTAAGAAAAAAAGGTCGTGATAGGTACTAGACAGGGCTCTTTGTTATGCCAACAGAAAAACAATCTATCTTTTAAATTGAGTCATGCAATAAGTCACTCAGTCAGCCAGGCAGCCAACCACCACTCGTCTTTTGGTTTTTTTTCTTTGACTGTCTATAATTCGGTCATATATTTTAACAAAATAAAGCATTTCTTTCCCGTTAGTCTCTATTTTTTCTTGTCTCTGAGCGGGGAAAGTGGGGGAGGGGGTTGTACGGTTGGCTCATTCATTTAGCATTAACATCAGCGTCATTGTCGTCATCACGAATATCGGCAACGACATCGACATTGGGCCAGCATCAATCCAACATCCCAGTCTGTGCAGGGTAATCATCAGCCACAGCCGCAGCTGCAGCTTCAGTCAAAGCCATAATATCATAAATGCTGGCAGATGCTGTCGTTACATAACCGAGGAAGACGAATTTAGCATGGATGGTTACTTACTTTCCGTGTCTTCGAGTAAAACTCCCGTATAATGTAAACAGCTAAAAAACCAAGATTCAATTGAAGATGGAAGCTTAGACCATCAAATTCACTTCCATCTTACATACATATGTATATGCCTGCATGGGTTACATACACACATACATATGATTGTGAGTTAATTTGTTGCAAAGAAATTAGATCACGACATAAGTAAGTTGTTGACTGCTTCGGAAATTTCCTCATCATCCAGCCAGCTAATTATTTTCTATTTTATCTATGTATGTATGTGTGTGTGTGAGTGTAGGTTGAAATTATATAAGTTCATTGGATGGTGACCGATTGACAGTTTTGAATTGAAATAAAAATTCAAGTAATGTAACTTCTGCTGAAGAATAGCAGCGGGTCTGGGGGGAGAGTCTTGGCTCAAATTATTCTTAGACTGACGAGGCGATGTTTCGGCGTCCCTAAAAAATAAAGAGGTTCCATAAAGAGGTTCCTTTACAGGGGTGTTATGCGATCACGTGCTGATTAGCGTTGCAGGTTTGCAGTCAGGGTACCGACTGTATTCTAACGAAGTTTCTTTGATACCTGGGCGTCTCAACGGATATCAACTTATGTTACCGAGTCCTTGTCCTGGAGGCTGTGTCATTGATGACAAGTCTTTTCACGACAATGATGACATATGGGGAAAGAAATATTTAGAAAACACCAATCAACAAAGCTAGAAGTGCGAAGTTTATCTCCACTTTAAAAAAAAAATACTCCTGGATCGGACTCGGACAGTAATTCAGAATCGTTTGCTACTACAAAAATGGGCCTACAAAAACGGGAAGTCTGGGAGGCGACAATGGTTTGAAACTGGACAGCGGATAGTAATCCGACAAATAATTGCAGATATGGAACCGTCAAGGCTGAGTCAGGACATCATCCCACTAGGCTTCTGGTAAACCTCTCTGTCTGATGAGGAAGAGGGATGGATACCACGGTAATCCTTCACTAGTCAAAAGTTGACTCCTAATGTAGTCGGCCCGAATTGTCCCAGTGGTCCTAATTCAAGTCCTCCGTTAAGCACCGACAAGTCCACACTCTCAAGGCAAGAGCCCATTGAAGTAGAAGGAGGCCTGGGCGGGGTCTCCATTGATAAAATGGAAGTACCGCCGAGCTTTCCTGACACTAAGAGTGTCAAATCCAAGGAGATTTGTCGATTGGGATTCGTCAAAGCTCACTGATAAGGATCTGCAGTTTATCGGGACGAACCTGAAGTTCGCAAGGAAGTTTGTGAGGATGTGCCTTAACGCAATTTCACAAAGGAGACTGTAACAAAAAAACTTTGAAAAAAAGGCCTCTGATGTGCCAGGGCCGGAGATACCATCCTCCAGAGCAAGGGTAGGTGAAACCCTGGTTAAATCTATCTACCTCTAAAAAGGCTGAGACAAAGAATAGGAAATCGAAGCCTGCTAATCCAGCGAAATTTGCCTATTCCGAGCCCATCAGTTGGTTTATCAACGCAACCCGTTACAACGGAGGAGATAATGAAACAACAGAAAGACAGAGATGGCGGACATAAAGATATCTTGTCTGCTGAGTTGCCAGTCTCGCTAAAAAAGAAG